AAATTAGAATAATATGAATAAATTTTGCAGTAAACTAAATTAGGGTCATAAAATTGCCATAATTGTTTTGTGGCACAGAAACAAAAGCCAGCCAAATCCAAAGAACCAGGTTGAAATCACAGTGTGAAAGCGACAAACTCAGAACAGTGGTTATGTGCCTCTAGGAAATTAGAGACCAGCAGGTAATTGCAGAACACAGGAAATGCAGCAAACCAATCAAAAGCTTAACAGCATCTGACCACCTGCTGCGAGAGAGGGAAGTAGACTAAGATTCTGGAAACCATTCTTTGGTCGGCAAGAAGCATGCACCCCGAAGAATTCATGCTCTGCGGGGATGTGTTTTGGTGGCACTCTACTTAACTCATCACCAGATCGAGGAAGCTCCTTAACTGGCCATGCTTTAATTTAATTTGTTTCAAATCATCGTAACCAAGGAATGGCAAAGTCATTGAAAAAGTCACTTAAAAAACTCATGAGGTAATTTGTTTTTTACCCTGTAGTAATAATCATTTAAAAATCCTGCCACAAATACCTTAGAGATAATGCTATTATTTTGATCATGAGGTTTCTTTGTTTTTTTTTAAGTGGAAAAGATTATGGCCTGCTTTCAGAGGGTGGATAGAACATCATCAACTTATAAATACGCTTCATTTATTGACTGATAAGTTATTTTGGCACATCACAATGGTTTTTGTGCACAGAAAAGATTATTCATTGGCTACTTCGATTTTAAAAATTTCTGATTTATCAGTTATAATTTCACATTCAAAAAGCCTAGTTCTTTGTGCTTTTAAAAAAGGTCAACTACCAAATCTTATTCTATTTGTAAATTTTAACCAATTTAAAGTGAGCCTTTAAACTTAAAAGTTGCTTTGAAAGTTTTAACTCTTTTATAAAAATAATCCATTCAATTTTCTTTTTAAATGTCAACTATCTAATTACAAATAAGCCTTCTCTGGTATTTTACTATTATGAAGCCAGCAAATTAACCTGTAAGTATAGTGAATCTAAGGTTCTTGCAAACATTCCGATACTATTTAAAACTTTAGTTTTTCTTATACATTTTAATGTATCATAATTCTAAACCAATTACACAATTTAAATCAGAACCACAAGGCTAACCTGTTTTTTATATATGCCTATTATCCTGAAAGTGGCAAATTCTTAAAAGTTATTAAGTAAACAGAAAAAAAGATAAAACTCTTTAAATATGAATTATCATCACCTCATATTTAATTCTAGTTCTTCCTGGGGTTAAAGATACCCACTAAAGTAACAGTATCATCCCAAGAGAATCAGAGATGACCTTTCCAAGAGAACAGCAAGTTTATTTATCTTCTTTTCAGGGGCCTGAGACTGAGAAATGCTGGTAGGATACCAGCTCCTAGGCATCTAGGGTGATTTTCCTGACCGCAGTGAGAGCAAACAGAGAACCTCTTATATCAATAATATCTCTAAGTCCCCAAGTCAATGATTTCAGAGTCCATGCTCGTTGTTTTTGAGTTACACTAATTCTCAAAATCTGCGATTTGAATCTGGACTTTCCCTCTAGGTATCAACCCTTGACTGGATTCAAACATCTATTTACTGTTTGATTTTATCCTGAATCCTTTGCACATTCTTCCTATTTGGAAGATACAACTCTTATATTGATATTATTAGCTGACATCAAGTTGGATTTTGCATAGTTCTCATCAGTCACTGAGCTCTACAGTCACAGTTCTAAAGTCATCCTCATGATGTTATCCTGCATGGTTATGTAAGTCAAGGAGGATGCCAAGGTGATTCCGTGAAAAAGAAAAAGAAAAAAGAAAAAAGAAGAATGCAAAGCGTATGAGGGGGAGCAGATATAAGAGAAAAAAATCACAACACAATATGGTAAGTGCTGTACCAAGATGTACCAAGTGCTACCAAAACACGGAGGAAAAAGGAACCATGCCTGCAAGACTGCAGCCATACACAAGTCATTGCCAAGCACACTTTACAGAAAGCTAATAAGGCTGTCACAGAAGAGCTTAAATCCATCACTGAAATCCACTATACAGGTGAGAATCCAATGAGGCTTAACTGGCAGATGTAAAAGAATTAAATGACAAAGTACCCACACCATCAAGTTGATACAGTTCTATATATACAGATAAATTACTCTAAAGCAGCAGTTCTCAACCTGTGGGTCGCGACCCCTTTGGGG